AAGCACCGAACCATCGATTGCGATGAGTCTTAGTTAATGCGTCAATAACTTATCGAGTATTAATGTAGACAGTGATATATGACAAAGATTGGCCGTTATGAACAAAAATACCTAAATATATATCGCGATACTTAACACTGTACATTTTTCAGAGCGATCAACTATACCATAACTGTAACAAACCTGACAATTTCCAAGGCAGTTGTAAACATTTGAAAGAATTTATTTTGGATTCAATTTACGTTTCATTCAACAAACACATACCTTTGATCTATCCAATAGAAAAGGTGTAAGTACACAATTTATTATTTTTATATAATATTTTTCTGTGTATGATATCATGTTAGAAAACAAATTCGATTTTCGGTAAACTATATGAAATTCACAAAGCCTTTTGTTTCCATGTACATTTTGTTTAGTATATAAGTCATTGACATATATATTATTTTTTAGTGTGAGCGACAATCTTATTTTACAGTTTTAAGTGTTTATACTAAATTCAAAACATTTTTTCCGTTGCCAAATTAAATTTTTTTTTTTAATTTAAAAATAAAATTTTGCTTGAGAAATGTTGTAGATATTATAATGTGATACTCTGCTTATATAATGATATTAATAATTGTATGTTTACAAATTCCAAACAACACGCTTCACACGACAAAAACAAACGGAAAATGTATTATACTACATGTAGTTTATTGCCTGAAAAGAGATATGGCAGCTTTTTTTCCAGTCACCTGTCCAAAAATAAAGGCTTCTCATGACCGAGTTTTGAATAGGCAGCAGTAGTAAGTTCACCTAGCCTTAATGGTTTTACGATTTATTTTTTCTCTGATCATTATGTAAACTTATACTTTAAAGGTTATAAATAAATTTCAACAGGTTAGCGGGAATACGCTGTTTGAATTGAATACATCAAAAATAATTTTAAAAACCAATAAATAACTAGTATCATAATTTTAAGCATGTTATTCGTGTACAATTCACTGGTTAATATTGTAATAAAATATTTTTTGAAGTCATCATTTTTCTGTGTTCCACGATTCATGATTTTTTTTGTTAATTATGTTTACTTATATTTTGCATAATTTTTTAAAATTGTTTACATAATATAGAATAAATATGAAAAAAAAAAATGTTTTTGAACAGTAATTTTTTCATGAATATAGATGATTAACCATCGTATTATATTTTTTATGCGTTTGCATTATCATTCAAGTATAATTAATGATCCAACATTTTTTTTTTTTTTTTTTTTTTATTGTTGTTTCAATTATTGAAAAAAAATGAATGTCTCATTAATGCGATGGTCTAATATCATTCAATGTTCCGCTGTATAAATGTTTTCGTATATATTAGTTATTTTTTCTATGGATAAAAATTGTTTTCGTGTTTATGATAAAATATTTTAGTTATACTGATGAAAGACTACACAAAACAGTGTAAAATATCATATTTCATTTTGTTCAAATAATAATTTATACATACAGATAACGATGTGTGGATGTTTTAAAATTGGATGGAAATTATACACACGAAAGCCGACGGCATTTTTTCGGATCAAGTCTTCCCGACGCGATGGTACGTCCGTTGACGTAATAGTATTCGTGCCTACAATAAAAGTAATAATCGTTGAAAAATCGAACTCGTTCATAAATGTAACTCCGCATAATCTGCAGTATTCCCCTCAATACGTTATCGATTCCGTAAGAGTACAATATTTCATTGGATTTTCTGTGGTGGTATTTGTTATCGACTTGTCGTCGAGCAATAACCCATAACTTATAGGTGATTACTAGTTACTATACTCACGTTCATCAATAGGTATGCTTATTTATAATAACAATTATTATCAAACGAATTTGGTTGTATTTATTGATTATCTATGTATTTTCTACTGAAAGCGACTAATTTTACTGTTCTCTTTTTATTTGGTACAAGTTACACTAGATTTCGATCCTTAGAAAACTTATTGTTGAAACCGCAATAACGAACCCTTGGAATATGCACAGTGGGTGCATATAACAATTATATAGACATTAAACATTAATCATATTTAACTAATAACCGTATTATTAAAGATGGCTGAAAATGTAACATGACATTATTTTGCTGAAAATAAGTTCATTACTTATTTTGTAATTGTATTACATTGATATACACTAACGATTGAAACAGAACTATACAATATATATAAATATATATATATCGTATATCTTATACCTAATAACGTATATGACTAAATCGATGTATTATATAAACACACATTTTTTTTTTTTTTTTATTATTAGCCACTAAACAACTCTGTGATAGTTCAATAAAAGTATTAAACTGTTTAAAACTACAAAATGTGAAAAATAAACAAAGAATAAAATAAAAGCTGACCCTGAAATTATTTTAATTATAATTTTTGCAGTATTGATATTGAGTTCTCAGGAAAGTTCCATGGGTTTATTATGTTCATTCATGTATTTAACTGTAATAACCTTGAAATATTTCGTCCAGCCAAGAGCACATGCAAATATCGCTCAGATTATGGTTTGCTCGGAAAGTTTGAAAACGTTTATGGATAAGGAATCGTTTTGCACACTTTTATTTTGCGCGTTTAAAGAAATCGATTGAAAAAATATCGTTTGCCGTCGTGGGGGTATTAAATGCACACGGTCCGAATGTGCTACAGGGACGGTTGGAACCGAGCATTGTATAACTATTTATAACAAGAAAAACCGTTACGATACAAGGTTTCAGTAAAAGCAACGCAACGCTTAGGGACGGTATGAATTGATGAACGTGCAAAATAACTGTTCAGAGCCGAAAACCACTACTACCGGCTATTACATTACGGAATGCGCGAGAACCGATAATATTTAGTGGGGTAATGGATATTGTGTTTTCTTTACGAGGTAGGTGACGCGAATAGTTCTTCGTTTTTATTTGTCGACACTTCATTTAAAACAAAAACACCGTCCGAGGTTTTCAACGCGAAACTATTTGAAACAAATATTAGGACCCGTATCGTGCAAGCGCGCGCACGCATACACGTATGTGTGCAGTGTATATTGGACGGGACGAATTTTCTTTTCGCTACGTAAACATAACGGTTTACCCTTTTAACGTTGCAGCGGCTAATAATGTTTTATCGGTAAACATGACACAGTTTCCTATGATTTTTCCGAGCACCGAATAACACTGTACGGTATGCCGCCACAAGCGGTGTAGTACTCGCATCGGTTAATCCGATAAAAGTCGAAAACACACGACGAACTAAAACGCTGCTCGCAACGGTTATACAAGCGATGCTGTACAAAATGTACGGCAAAAATCGATTTAAAAAAAGGTCATTATTTATTTTATTTTGTTTTGTTTCGTTTTTTTTTTTTTTTTGTGCCGTAAAACGAGACAAGTGCGGAGCGTGAGCGAGAGAAGACCCTTTTGATTTAGACTTCAAAATCGGATCCCAAAGCACCGTCCGTACGTCGCATCCGGTGTTCACCGCAAGTGTCCTCGGAGCCCATGTCGGTTGATCGACTCGGTTTCCCGGCGCGCGCACACCTACGTCATTACCATTATTTATCCTTGCGCGATCGTCCCCAAAATATTTGCTCCTCGGACGAGTCGTAATGATGTACGTGCACTGTAGTTTATGGGCCTGTGGAGTCGCTGTACTATACAAAGGGTCCTTGCACACGTTATGTAGAATATGCGTTATGAAACGCAACCGACACCACGAAACCGTACTATGCACCAGGGCTTATTCGAAGGATTTTTACCTACTGCCAAGACACTGAAAAGTTTTTTTTCCAAAATTTATTTGGATTATAATACTTATCCCCTCTCCAAATAAATTGCTTATTGATATTTTAAAATTTTGACCATCGCGTGGTAAAATATTTAAAAAATACGGAGCTTTACCGTTAAACGTATATCACTATTTAAATTTAAATTTCATAAATCGATCAACGAAGTAGCAAAGATTGTAAACTTACATAATTATTACTTATTAGATACTAGGTTGAGTTAATATATTACACAAATTTCAAATACTCAGTAGTTCAATTATTCTATATGGAAAATTATGTTCTTGTAAGGTGCCCACATTTATGAAGTTCTTTTGATTTTTCCAACTACCCAATTTGGGTCGTACTGCCCGTTAGAATAAGACCTTTTTCGCACGTCGTTGCCGGCGGAGGCGGTGCACCGGTGTTAAAACACGAGCGGAGCACCGAACGAGACTGAAAATCATAACATAAATCGCATCGTAGAATGTTTCAATGGTCTTTTAAGGTTACAGTTCTGTAACGTTGTGTTGTAAAAAGTCACGAGTCGTTTGATTTTCCCTCGTCCATTGCTTCAGAATCGTCGACACTCCCGACGAACGTTGTGACGCCGCGGCGTCGAACAATTCACATGTACGAATGTGCCCTGCACGACGTTCATTACTTGTACTGAAAGTCTCGCGTGGCACACTCATGAAGTACGTGTACGGTCGCATAAATGGTGCAGAAGATCACGTTTGGTCAGCGTACCAGTGGAGTAGTTATGACTTTTGGTTCTCGACGAGCAAATCTTATATGTGTATGTTTACCCTTTACGAACATTCATCGTCTCCAAATAGCAGACAACATTTCTACGACCTGGGGTGTCCGCTCAATGGAGGTTTCACCATGCTGTGTCACACGTTCGACTGATTTTCACGACGGGTTCTTATACATGTAAGTTCATTAAATATATCCCCATAATCAATTTTTCTGCACATTTTATTGTCAATGTTGAGAATATCAAAACCGTTTAAATATTCCTTGCTTTTAATCGCGATCGCAAGTAAATGTTTAATCCTTTTTAAAGTTGAGAAGGACTTTTAATTTTTTAGCCCTAGATTAAATACATCCTTGTCTCTAGTAGGTTACTTGAAGTTGTCCATAACTGGTATATAGTCATGAACGAGGTAGTTCAACAGGATCGGTTTAAGTACGGACTGAGAGTGATAAAATCCAAACTCACTATTTCAAACATTTACGTTGAACTCTTTCCAGTTGAATACTACCATCGAATGTGATCGGATCCCAAATAATTACCCCATACTCCAACACGGACCGAACAAAAGAGCAATATAACGTTTTAAGAGAACTGAACAGTTTAAATTGAGCCAAAATTCTTTTCCCAAAACCGAGAAGCTTCAGAGCCTTACAAGTAACTTTTTCAATAAAAGTACGATAAGTTAGCGATTGATCAAAAGTAATACCAAGGTCCATAACACAGTAACCTGGCTGCTTAAATGCAATGTCATTGATGGTGTATGTAAACATGACGTGCTCATTGGAACGAGTATAGGTCATGGTATGACATTTAGTGGTACTAAGATCCAAGCCTAGTCCCCGGGTTCAATGAGCGACAGCATCAAGATTATGTTGTAAGAGTTTACAATCATCAGCGGTGTCAAAATGGAGAAATAGTTTGATATCATGAGCAAATAACAGAAGTTCACTATGCTGTATCACATATTTAATGCCATTAACAAAGAGTGCAAAAATAACGGGTAATATATGCCCGCCTTGGGGTACACCAGAAGTTACACTAACTGTGCTGAATCAGAAGCCATTGATCTTAATAACCTGTTTCCTTTCAGACAAATATGAACTGAAACATGATAATAGAGGCTCACCAAACCCAAGATTTAACAGAATGCTCAACAATGCACGATTGTTCACGTGGTCAAAGGCCTTTGCAAAATCGAAATAAATGGAATCAATCTGTGTATGCTTACTGAAAGCTTAAATACAAACTCAGTAAAAATTAAATTACAAGTTGTAACTGAGCGGCCAGGGCGAAAACCGTGTTGTTCATCGATAATAATTTTATTAATAGTCCTATGTATGGATTTTAAAATTAATGACTCATGTAGTTTGGCAAGGTGACTGATAATACTGATTGGCTTGTAATTGATGTCATCCGTAATGTCATCTGCCTTAAAGATCGGAGTAACCGAGATGATCTTCCAAATATCCGTCCCATTCTTGAGTATGGTTCCGTCCTCTGGGACCCGTCCACCGCTTCCGCACGTAGCATGATAGAAAGGGTTCAAAGAAAATTCCTCCGTCAAGCTGCTTACAAACTAAAGATAGTCTATCCACCTCACGATTACACGCCAATCCAACGCCTCTTTTCCTTAGAAAGCCTCGCCGATCGTCGCCATTCAGCTAACTTGACATTTCTATTCAATCTTCTTTCATCTAAAATTGACTGTCCTGAATCACTATCCCGTGTCTCATTTAATATCCCCTCCCGCCGTACACGATCATCTGTTCCATTTCATATACCTTTCTCTTCCTCAAACTACTATCTTAACTCACCGATCATCCGCCTTATGCGCATTGCCAACTCTGACCCTTCATTCTCTCTCCAAAATTGAGCCTCGTTTCCATAAACAAAACTATTTTTATTATAATATTATATTCATGTATTAAAGGGTTCGTCCCGTATTGTAATATTAAATAAATAAATAAATATCAAGAAAGATAAATTCAGACAACGATTTACTATAAATAAGAAATAGTGGGAAACACAAAATTGACCAAATGTTTTAAATAAATAAAACCTGAGAGCTCATCAGGATCGACCGATTTAGTAAGACATAGGTTGACTAGGCTTGACTCGACATCAGTTAGACTAATACTAAATGAAGAAGGAAGATCGTAAGGTAATCCACCTGAACCATAGGAATCTACATTTAAGCTATATGGGGAAAAATCTGACGACACTACACAAATACCACGTAAACAGAAAATATGAACCACTCATCGAACAATCACACAGTCTAAAATAAATGTTTAGTGCGATAAAATTAAGAAAACATTCTGCCGATAAACTGGATTTATGTAACTTACTGATTACAAAATTTGCTCATAATAAAGATTATATGTAATATATTACATATAATTTTTATTATGAGCAAATACTGTATATATTGTTTATTTATCAAGTGAATGCCTCTGACGTGAAAAACTTTAATCTAAATTATTAGTAATTATTATTACATAATAATAGATTGTATTTAGTATCTTTAATCATAGCGGCGTCATCGGTTATACACTGAAAAAAAATAAAAGAAAAAAATATATCTTTAATCATTAAAAGATACTAGATACCATACAAGTTAAAAAAAGTATTTAAATCCACGATACCAGATATATTAAAATAATGTATACAAGATACAATTGTATCGCAGATACGTATCTTAAATACTAGTATCTAAGATTCTGCCCAGTCCTGGTTACACCATTTTCATCATTTGACCAATCAATACCAAGAAGATTGAAATAACCAGATACAATAAACCTGCTGTCACGGTAGGTCGTTATGAGATTTTCAAGGGTCGATACAAATAATTTATAGGAATCAATTGAGAATTTAGGAAGGAAATAAACTCTTGATAAGATATCAGTAATTGTATTATAACAAATATTAACAAATAATTGTTTCAAAGTCGCAGACAGTGACCTTCAAGAATTATGACGAGACATCATTACGTACGGTAACGAGGACACTACCACCCCTATTATAAACACTAGTTACACTGGACCTGTCACATCTAAAGACCTTATAATTAATTAAATCTAATTCATTAGAAAAAATACTATCAGTGAGCCGTGTTTCTGACAAACTGATGAAAATAAAATCAAAATCAGCTACATTGCGGTTCATAGTAGCAAGTTTGGTTTTGAGACCACGACAGTTTTGATGCAGTCCAAAATGGACTGATTTTTTTTATATTTGATTATTATTTGATTATTTTACTATATGATTAATTTTTATATTTATATTCATATTTGATTAATTAACATTGTATTTATACAATTTCAAATACATTTTGTTTAATTATGATTATTTTACAATAAAAACCGTGTTAATATGTGAAATAACAACAAATCCAATTCACTTTCGTTTATCTTGCAGAGTTCTCATAGAAATTGAACTCGAGCATGAACAACACGTGACAAACCCAAAATTGGTGTCACACATCGATTCACGTGAACAATTTGCAACAAATATTTCACAAGTAATAATTTTTAGATTCGAAATAATGTTCTAAAGATAATTACATAAAACTTAGGTTTTGAAGATAGAAAAAAATTCAAAAGTTGCTTCTTTTGGCCACTCCATAAAATACTAGTTTCTTCTACTGTTTCAGGAACAATCTGTATGTATATAAACATGTGTAATTTACCCGACGGGTATGGACGTAGAGTGATCAAATATATTGGGGGAGGGGGGCTGCAAAAACAACAATAATAATAATAAAAAAAAAAAAAAAAAAAAAACAATAAACTAAATGAAAATAAGACTACTCGACGAAATGAGCAAAAATAATAAAAATAATTCTAGGGGAGGGCTAATATTCGCAACGAGGGGCTAAGCCCCCCCAAGCCCCTCCTAAATACACCAATACCGACGGGTAATACTCGTGGTGTGAAAAATTGATTATTACGTATTTGCAGTAGTACTATCAGACTGTAGATTACACGAATGTAATCGAACGAGTAATTTTATTTACACTACACTATAGCGCAACGTTCAAAAACGGTAATCATGGATACCACGAAATGTTCATCGAAAACCAATAGACTGTAACGTAACAAACTTTCGCGTTCGTCTTAACCACTCAATAGTTTCGAATTTCGAGGTAAACGTCTTACGGTGATTTGTTTATTATTTAATTTTTATTTTCTTAGCATAGTTTAATATTCATGTACCATAGCTCGTCGTTTTCATCTTCTTCGCCCGGGTGTACAACAGAAACGTGTTCCAACAACGACGCTAAGCTTATGTACATTGCAGCTTAATGAATACGACTGGAAAATGAAATAAAAGTTTGAAACGTGAACATTTTCGTTTTCGCTTCACGCGTCCATTATGACATTTAAACGTGTTACATTGTCTTACTACGTGTACAATACGAAAACAGCGTCTAATGTTTGACGACATCAATCGTGTTTGACTTAACCTTAATCGTAATGGGCGGTGCGTTTCGAGTCAGAGATTTACCGTACTAATTAGCCGATAACTAATTACTTTTATTTTAAATCAGTTTAATTAACGTCTATGCGTACCGTTACGCCACGACGTTATCCATTGCAAGCAAAAACGTTTTATGCTAACTATTCGACTTTTCATATGATTGTTCATATTCCAAGTTTCGTTTATGTATTCAAACATTTCCTTACGACCATTAATATTTGTTTATAACGTGTGCCTTTTTTTTAATCGTGATTTTCGACAGTTACGTTTTAAAAGTGTAATTATTTCACAATAATATTTTATACAAGTGTAGTGGCCGTACATTTCACGTTTATTCGTACATGAATATGATAATGGAAACTTTGACACGCATTTTATTTGAAACTATTCATTCGAATATCTCAATTCTTTTTTTATTTTTAATGAAATAGTACATTGCGAAGCAGGTTAATTTCAATTTCATAAATTAATTGAGTAATTTTTTATTTATAACTTTTTATTTTTCAATATCCCATTATGTTGTAGCGAGACAAAAAAAACATACATTCACCCCATTTTTATGTTAAAACAGTCGATTGGTTGCCCATGGTTGGGCAACTAAATATATTGCTAAAAATCAAAATAGAAACTTGCTACCAGTCCTAAACCTGTGTTAAAACAAGAAGGAAAACGATGATTATAATTTTTTTTTATTTTCCTATAGTATCCTTACCATAGTTATATAAAGATAAGCGTTTATTTTTACCCAGGTAATTCGGCCAGCACTGTGGCTATTCGGATGATTTAGAGTATTATAAAATAATGGTATATTACTTTTTGTTAATTCCGTCTTCACGATTAAACATTTGTGATACATTGGACCGACGCGGAATCGAATTCGATTTCGATTGCACTGGTACGTATATTCAAAATGAACACGCGATCGATTTTCGATTCCGATCAATTGAAAATATTAGTACAACCATCATCAATTGCATGGAAACGAAAATAATGTTTGTAAAAAGTTAATCTTCGTTTTGCGTATTACGTGTATCCCCAAATCCTCTAGTTATATCTCGCATAAGTTTTTCGCCGTTAGTTTTTGGAGGAGAGCAGTTCACGCAAAAACGTCCGGGCCGTATAGTCTTTCGTAAACCGATAACATAGGACGCGAAATACCTGTTATGTAGACGAATAATACGTAACATGACTGAGTGCTTGGCGGTGACGTTTATCATAAAACTGGAACAACTACAACATTCATTCACCCACGTACGTTGCTCGTAATCGGTTCATCCTGGTAAATCCTTAACTGTAACTTTAGTCGTCCGGTCAACTGCGA